TGCGTGGGTTTCCTCTGGGACCTCCAGTTTCCTCCCACACTCCAAAGACATGCTGGTAGATTAATTGGATCCTGTCTAAATTGCCCCTAGTATTTATGAATGCAAGTTAGGGACCTTAGATTGTACGCCCCTTGAGGGTTAGGGACTGATGAGAATGTACACTATATATCTGTAAAGCGCTGCGTAAATTAAATGGCGCCTGCAATAATAAATAAGTAGAAAAAAAATGTCAATCCTGAGCATTCAGTCCAGGTCTCTGTACAACATCGCAACGGAATTTCCCATTCTAAGTGGCACATACTTGACCTTGACTGTATTTGCAGCACTTTTAACAGAACAAGATGAGCTTTGTGTGGTCTGTTTCCAGATGCATTAACAGTGACTGAAGCATGCACTCAACCACACAGGTTGCTTCACCTTTACAGAAATGCAACTGTGTGACAAGAAAAGCAAACATTTGAAAGACAGACCACCACTGTATTAAAGAATCATCACATATGATCCTGGTTTTCTTTTTTACAGCGTATTCAGCATCCTGCACCTCCTGTGAGCGAATGAGTGTTTTACCACTAGAGGGTACAAGTGCATTTCTAAAGACAAGAATATTCTTTCTGCCAGACGCAGATATTGTGTTAAAGTGCCTCTAGGCCAGCCTTCGTCAATGAGGGTTCCTTCAGAGGTTCCTTGAGCAGTAAGCAATTTATGCTCTTCCTATATGTAACCATTGACACTTATGCTATTTTTAGCCATCATTTACCATCAATGTAAAGAGAATTTGTTTTTTGCAGACTACCAGTGCGATGGACCCCTTCTTCCAATGTAAGGGACTTCTCCACTGACTATTATTATTAGGGGCATTTTACTCACCATAAGGAGCACAATACAACTTTTACTCAGTGTTCCTTTTCTGCCCCTTATAAGTGTTAATTTAAATTCTCTACTAAAATCCAAGCAGCACCTTCAGGCTTTCTAGAGGTATAAAATTACACATCTAATTTCCTGACTACCTATCTCATTTATGGAGGTGCTGGAGCACCAGGACAGTGGAAACACCCATAAAAAGACTACCTTGTGGTGTTTTGCTTTCCAAAATGTATTTTCTAAAAGGCATGATGAGTCTTTTGAAGACTTAATTTTTTTGTCCCATGTTTTTTGGAAGATGCGGAATGAAAATTAAAAATTCTTTGTTTAAAAAAAAAAAAAAAAAAAAAGTTGGCAATTTAATAAGATATTTCTCAAACACAGCATGGGCATACTTAGGAAGAGTAGCAGAATGTGTTTTGGGTTGTTTCTGGAGTATGGCGATACCACGTGTGAGACTTTCAATGTTTGGACTGATTATTTACTGCACATTGTATCTTGTGTATCACACAAATCAACCAATTGAATCAAAACCAATGTATTTGAATTGTTTCCTCTATATGTGTGGTCATGGAATATAGCTTAGTGTAGTGTCACCTATAGCACTCCCTTTCTCTATACGCCAAGCAAGCCTATCCTACTGGTATGTGGCTGCCCCCAGAAATACAAAGTTCACTGCTCAGGAAGTACAGGAGGGTAAAGAAAAGAAGAACAAAAGAGCTCCTGTGGTTCCAGGAGTGCAGCTGTCTGCAGGGAATTGCTGGGACTGGTGTCTGGCAGAACATAGTTGGCGGGATGTGCAGATGGGTCAGTTCAGGCAAAGGTAGAGACATGGTCACTAAACAGGTAAAGGATCAGTCCAGGCAACAGGCAGAAATGTGGTTAATAGACAGGCTAGGGTTAGTACAGGCAGCAGCAACTCTGCACTGGTGTGGCATAGGAGGAATACTGTTGCTGGCATACACTGGTCTGGTGACACTGGGACTGGTATGGCGATGGTCAGGAAAACTGTTGCTTGTGGCACTGTTCTGAATCAGAACACTTGATTCTAGCTACACTGGCTGGTGCGGTGGTGATTGGATAACTGTGACTGGCTGCATTATTAGGGCTAGTTCACACATCAGTTGAGCTGCGGTTTTACTAGTCCTTGATTGCTACCCCCTTAAGCTGCAAAGGAAGCATCTGGGGTGTACACATGCCATGGCCGCAATGATTTGCTTTGCAGCTGTGGCAAGAATTTTACCCCCTGTACTCCAGCTGATTGTGACCCATTTAGGTGAACAGGGTTGCTTGTGCAGGGTCCAAGGGATTAAAGCAAGTGGTGAGGGGGCAAAACAATGCCTCCTTACTACCTGTCAAATGCTCTCTGAAGAATGATCTGAACATGGATGGCTCTTAAGAGACCATCACACATGTGAACAAGTCCTTATTGACTGCTGGGGGGGATAATCAGGCACACTGACTGCTGTGGCAGTGATCAGGGACACTGTAGGCCTCTTTCACACAGCAAGGTGAGCGTGGCCACCAGATCCCTTCAGCAAGAATCTGCAGATACTTGCTGCTGGAATGAGTGGGTTATGCATCCAGCAGCTGCTGTTTGCATGTAGCCGCACACAGAGCAGTTAGCTGCAGTTTGGGACAGATGTCAGAGTCTGGATGTATCTGGCTCTGTCAAATGGGCACAGCAGTCACAGCCACCGGGGATATTAGTGTACCCGCCTGGCCGTAATATTATAATAGGCCAGGTGGGAAGTAGGTACAATGAAGTTTAGTGATTCCCAAACCCTCTGGACTGTTACATTGTGTGTTTTATCCCTATAAAATTACATATTCAGTTGTGTTCAAAATAATAGCAGTGTTGAAAAAAGTGAAAAGCTCAAAATCCTTCTAATAGCTTTTATTTCCATACACACAAATGCATTGGGAACACTACACATTCTATTCCAAATCAAACCATGAGGAAAAATATATCAAATTTGTGTTGTTCCTCTAAAAAAAATTGAAGAAAAGTGAATATTAGACTGTTCAAAAAAATAGCAGTGTTTGTATTCTTCTTTACAAACTCAAACATTCACTATATAAACTGAAAAATGTTTGAGGATTTTGCTTTCCTTTGAATCACTTAATTAATATTTATTTGTATAAGCACTGTTTCTGAGAACTGCTGTACATCTGTGTTACATGGAGTCAACCAACGTCTGGCATGACCTCTTCAAGTATTCTGATGTATTCAAACTGATCCATGATCCCTGGTATGCGATAAATAGGCCCAACACCGTAGTATGAGAAACATCCCCATATCATGATGCTTGCGCAACCATGCTTCACTGTCTTCACAGTGTACTGTGGCTTGAATTCAGTGTTTGGGGGTCGTCTGACAAACTGTCTCCGGCCACTAGACCCAAAAAGAACAATCTTACTTTCATCAGTCCACAAAATATTGCGTCATTTCTCTTTAAGCCAGTCAATGTGCTCTTTGGCAAATTGTAACCTCTTCAGCACGTCTTTTTTTCAACAGTGGGACTTTGCGGGGGCTTCTTGCAGATAGCTTGGCTTCACATAGGCGTCTTCTAATTGTAACAGTACTCACAGGTAACTTTACACCTTCTTTGATCTTCCTGGAGCTGATTGTTGGCTGAGTCCTTGCCATTTTGGCTATTCTTCTATTCATTCAAATGGTTTTTCGCTTTCTTCCACGACTTTCAGGTTTTGGTTGCCATTTTAAAGCATTTTAGCTGAGCAGCCTATCATTTTCTGCACTTCGTTATATGTTTTCCCTCTCCAATAAACTTTTTAATCAAGGTACGCTGTTCTTCTGAACAATGTCTGGAACAACCCATTTTCCTCAGAATTTCAGAGAGAAATGCACTGTAACCAGCATGTACAACATTTGCTGCCTTCCTTCCTTAAATAAGGCCAATAATTGGCACCTGTTTTTCAAAGAATGAATGACCTCACTACTAGAACTCCACACTGCTATTATTTTGAACATGCCCCTTTCAATTAGTGATTCAGTTACACAGAATCAGCAGCATGCATGTCATGACTGTTGGATTTCTATTACTCTACTACACCTGCTAGTAAATTATTTGCCATGTAGAAATATCATTTCTACCAAAAACAGTGATTGATCAGATTAGTGATGTCTGACTGCTATTATTTTGAACACAACTGTATGTTAAAAGAGAAATGAAAGTGCAGGTCCATGATATCTACAAGCTACTTAGAAGAGCATTCAAGACCTGAATGAGAGAAATAGAAACAAGAAATTGGTATACAGGACATTAGACTTAAGCTGAAGTTTAGTTATACATAAGCTTCAGCTTTATTCACATGATTTAAAAGGGGACAATCGTGGTTTGGGATAATTTTTTCATTTTCTGAACTGATGTATAACAGTGTTAACATAATGATAGTTTTTACAAAATATGCAATTGGGTGCACATATGACACTGGTCCCCCCAAAAGTTATGGGTTTACTAGAATGTTTTCTAAAAGTATACAATGTATGGCCATACAGAGTAAAATCCTGCTGTAGCTTTGGCACCTGGGAGCCACAACTGATGCATATTTTTGCCCAGAGGACTGCACTACAGAAAACCCTTGTGCGCCTATACAAGTGTAACCACCAACACCGACATTTACTTGTGCACACACATAGGTGTATTTTTTTTTTAATTTTATTTTACGCATCAGCTGAACCTTTTGTGAGCATGGAAGATAGACTGTACACGCGTAGGTACTGAAAGAAGTCGAGTGCGCTGTCATGAGTTTCTGGGGTCGCACATCTAATGCCTTGTAAATTCTATCATATGCAGTATAGAGAGGGAAATGTATGGAGAGGGGACAATGTAATGACCATCTGAAAAAGTAAGCATTTACTTACAAAATGGGGCACAGCATGTTAATTTACTGAGGACCCTGTAAGGCATAAGGTGGTTTCTGGCAAAAGTAAGTAATAGTGAACGACTGCAAACCTTTATTGTGGATTCTGTGATATGCAGTTTGCAATGCAGTTGTGTTTTCTTCATTGACTAAGACTTCTGAAGAATCCACTTCTTATGCCTAGGAGTGAGTGCTTTCCATTTTTGTTCCATTTGAAAAACTTTAAATAACTGTATTAAGTTTTTGTGTCTCACCTTAGAATCGACCCCAATAGGTTTCCTACACTCAGCACAGGGTGTTAGCAACAATCTTCTCAAAACACTTCACACAGCAGTTGTGTCCATCCTTCTCAACATACTTCTTGCCTTGCAGAGGAGCTCTGCAGTAGTGGCAGTCAAAGCGTTCAGACATTGTGCCCACAGTGTAGTGGCGGGGACCTAAAAATAGAAAAATCGAAAGTTGGAGGATTGTATTTTGCCTTTTATGTCTGTTTAAGAAGTTAACACACACACCTATTCCATACACAATATACTGTATTTTTACTTTCTGCAGTTATACTGGAACCCTGACCACTAATATATGAATTCATATGTTGGGGGAGGGTTACAAAATTACAAAGTTAGGCTGTAAAAGTCCATCTATTGCAACAGGAAAAAAAAAAAATAGAAAACCTCCATATACAAAACCCTATACCCACAGTTTATCCAGAGGAAGGCAAAGACCCTATATGATGCATAGTTCAATTTGCTCCGGTGAAAGGTTGGGGGAAGGGGAGTGGGTAATCTTCCTGATCTGCCAAAAGGCAATCAGATATTCCCTGGATAAACAATCTCTGGTGTTATTACCTATATATATTATACAGTTATAGTTTGTGAATTTAGGAATGCATCCAGCTCTTAAAAAAATAAAAAAATCAACTGACCTGGCCAGAACTATTTTTTGAGAGACTATATTCCAATTTTTCTTTTTTGTTACTCATCCAAAATTGTATTGTTTTGTATCAGTGAAGGGCTAGCAGTAGGGGAAAAAGTTCCTTTGAGATCTCTTAATTTTAACAGTAAGGGTTTGTACTGTAAAGACGACCTTGCCTCTTAATGATATTGCACTTTTTTATTCAGTATATGAATTCATAACTGTAAAAAAAAAAAAAAAAAAAAAAAAAAAACACCCATAAAGTTGTTAAGATGATGTCACTAATGGACTCAAGGTACACAACGTACAGATTTATGAGACAAATACTAAAGTAGGTTTAGGAGCCAGTGTTGATCTCCCGCATTTGTCCAGTGACAGAATCCACAGGCTATGATACTTCAGTTTAAGAAGTCTCCAATATTAATGGGTTTCCAGACCAAATAAATGATATATGGATGGATGATATACAGTAATAATTTGTTCTCTTCTGACTGCCTTGTGTTTGATGAGCCTGGATTGTCATCAATGGCAATCTCCTAAGTATCATATGAATAACGTATGTGAAACCCCTCTCTGCAGGGTTAGCATCTCAGGACTCAAGAATCTCAACTTTTCAGTCAGCCACTAATAGTACACCAAGCAGCACTACAACTAGTAACTAACGATAACCTCATAGTTCGATTTCCCTTTATTAACTTCACATAGATTGTGGGCATAGGCAAGGTAAACAAAACATGTTTTTATTACTTTTCTTCTTGCTTGAGGATTTTATTATTACCTATACTACAAATATTAAAGGCGCTTAGAAGGATTTGCTACTGAGGGAAATTACATTTTGTGTCATTGCTATGTTTAAGACTGACAGAAGCAGCATGCTAATCGGGAACGCTCCTCCACCAGATCACAAATGTTTTGGAACATAATTTTTTTCATTCACATGGAACATACAAAAATTTACAGAAGGGCATATAGTTTTTCACTGTACACTTGACAGAATTGTCTGCACATTGTGCTCCCCTTTAAAACACTTATGCCGAAACATATGAACCTTATATTAACAGTGGTTGTAAACCCTTACATTATACTCAGTGAAGCGATTGGCCACAGCTGACAAACAGATGAAACAAATCCTCCTACATTTGTTGTACCTGTTTTATCTGCTTCCCTCTCTCCTGTACATACATTCAAAGTCCAGAATTCACACAGCATTTCTGAGCTTCCAGAGGCAGGTGGTGGGGATCTGACATCACACACTGAACAGCAAAGAGCAGGGAGCTGAGTGTAACCCGAGACCTGAGTGGACACACACACCCCTCCACATGATCCCATTGGGAAGTATGCACAGCTTAGGCTGTTCATCACAGGCTGTGTGCTGGAGCTCCCCTCCCCATCCTCCTCCATTGCTTGGAGTTGGCACAAGCTGTCAGAAATGATTCATGCAGACAGTAGAGGAATGACGCAGCAGACAAATCACACTGCATGGATTTGGATTCAGGCAAAACACACTATAAAAGGATACGTTTAGGTAATTTCTCATGTCAAATGTTTACAACCACTTTAAAATGAGAAAAAAAAAAAAACAAAAATGGGAGCTAGTAAGAATGATATTCTAACTTGTCAGCTAAGGCAGTAATTTAGTTCATTTGATGGTTAGCTCATTACCCAGAAAGACAACATACTGTAACAGTTTCAAGTGCAGCACTGTTGGCCAGTAGTAATTTATGGCAAAGAGCTTAATCTGTCAGTGCAATGACTAAACAGCCAAAATCATGGAACGTAAAATGGGTCAGTGGGAAGGATCACGGTTTGGGTTTCTTGCTTTGTTATGAAGTGTTTATCAAGTGATTCACCAGTCAAGTATACTGCTGATGAGACATAACACTCTTTTAGTAACATTTTGGGTTACAGACAAAAGTTGCAGCAGAAAGAATGCATCTCTCTGAATAATGACCTTATAAAGACTCATATGTGCCCTGTGGAAACATACTAGTGGGACTTTACAAATCTGCAGTGGACAGAATCTGGAACAGCTGTCCCACAGAATCTAATCAGCTTCTAGCTTCAGTTAGTTCTGTTAAACTTTGAAAAATGATTGGTTGCCTTGCAAACCTGCTTTAGTCTTATTATTGGTACTTATATAGCGCTGTCAATTTACACAGCACTTTACATACATAGTATATTGTACAGTCACATCAGTCCATACCCTCAGGAGCTTATCAATCTAAGGTCCCTACCTCACATTCATACATACATATACTAGGGCCAATTTAGACAGGAGCCAATTAACCTACCAGCATATCTTTGGAGTGTGGGAGGAAACCGGAGTACCTGGAGGAAACCAACGCAGGCACAGGGAGAACATGCAAACTCCAGGCAGGTAGTGTCGTGGTTGGGACTCAAACCAATGACGCAAGTGCTGCTAGGTAAAAGCGCTAACCACTTTGCCACTGTGCTGCCCTTAGTAAATTCCCTCCACTGTATTGTAGCCACTGTATATAGCGGATGCTTTAAACTGTGTTGAGCTTGTTCTCCATGGTATTTTTCCTGCACTCATATCATGTCAGCTTAGCTGTATTCATTAATGCTGGAATAGATCTTAGCACAAAAATAAAATTATATTCCACCATTTTATAAGGAGCTAATCAAAGATTGAAAAGGTGCATCAGAAGCCGCAGGAAGCCAAAACAACCTTGCCATATTCTCAAACACTAGGTTATACAGTATCTACAAGCAAAGATATCGTTTACGGAGTCTATTGTAGAACACGTGCCCCACTTTCTGCCATGTTCCACTCCTATAGCAGTGTATGCAACTCTTATTTGTCTCAGAAAGTGTTTTATTGGTGTATTTTATACCAATGTTGCCTCAACATATTTATGCGTCATTTAAAAAATAGGACTATTACAGAACACACTGTTTATCTTGACCTTGTTTTTAATAACTTGCAAAATAACTTCTTATCACCGGCTACTAAACAAAGTGGGTGAAGACACCACATGGTGGCAGCTGCTATGAAGACGGGGTTAAAAGATAAAACGTTGGAAAGAGATTGCAATGGTGACCTTTAATGATGTCAACAAACAGGCTGGATGGCATGACCTTGGCAACCTTCCTATTTTGGATATAAGCTGAAAGCATCCCGAAGTTTGCCAAACACAGCTATGGTCATCTTCCATTTATACAACATTTGTTGTCATGTACAGAGGGACAGTTTGCTAGGACATGATGCTTCACTCATCACCTCCCTAAACTCTGGGGAACTTGGAGGGCTTTCATTAGAAATGTTATGTGCTAGCAGCTTGGCACACTTCTAGAGAGGCATTACTAGGGATTATACAGAAACCTATGGCTATATTTACTAGGTTATTCTGAGTCTATATGCCCACTACTAAATTTACATCCAACCTAAAAACACTGGACTCTATTCAATAATATAGTACAGAGGACAAAGTGGGCAATAAAGCAAAAAACAAAAATGTAACATTTCCAGTAATATATGCTGATTGGTTTCTATGACACTTCATTCCATAAAATATGATTATCAAAAACTATTCAAACGGATTTTAGACAAACGTGTACAAAAAGTACTTTTGAAATGCTAAAATTATCAGCTGTGTGCATTGCCATTTTCCTCCTTGCCAACTATGACCATTTTCAAATAAGAGAAACACTTTGCTTAAAGCCCAACCCTGGGACTGTCTCAGCCAATGAGGAGGCAGAGTCCCCTGACAGCCGAGGCAATCTCGTGCACATTGCTGGATCGTGATGGGGCTCAGGTATTGGGGGTCTGGGGGGAGCTGCAGCACACAAGGTTTTTTACCTTGAGCCTTTACAACCATTTTAAATTACTTTTTACGTATCCTTTTCTGAAAAGCTGAAAGTTACACAGATTTTCAGCCATTAGAAATTCACAACTATTTTTACAGAAACCCCAAAACATTGTGGATTGCCCAACATCCTGGTCCAAGATGTCTAACTGCATATACTGATTTCTAGCGCAGGTCAGGCACAGTTTATATGTTGACCTCTCAAGCAGAATGTTGCATGTTACATCTCATACACAGAGAAACATTGTGTACATCAAGATTAATTATGAATACCATCTGTTGTAAAAACATGTCCTACAGTATTGGCTATAAATATATTTTATTGTATGCAAGTATGCCATTATATACACAGGAAAAGAAGCAGACTTAGGATGCGATCAAATCTATTGCTTTATTAACGTAGAATGTATTTTGAGTGAGCATACATTGAGATATTTTTGGAGGTTTACCCAAAAGTACATTTTTGGTTTGAATTTTACATGTGTACAAGTTTTCTGTTTTCAGGATAATCAGGATAAGGTTTGATATATTAAAGCCTTATTCCAGGTTTACAAGAAGCTTGGCATCACTTCATATCGGGTACCTTCCAGTTGAATGGACTTTTTGCGGTGAATAGCGCAGACTGATAGGAAGTACTGCAGTGTACGCTGTATTTTTGTCAGTTTTACTAAT